GACTCGAGACACAATGGATTTTTGGGACTTTCAGGTCTATGGACCAATGTCTTATTTTCTGATCAAACCGGAAATCTTTAATGAGCAGCTAGATTTGTCTTGCATTAACTGGCTGAGTTAATGCCAGTTAATGCAACATCGAAGAAGCTGGAATCCACAGCTGTGCGTGTTCATCACTACATCACTACCTGACAAATTTAACTGTCTTCAGAACATTGCAGAGGCCTTATTGACAGTATTTGGCTCTACATATCTGTGTGAGCAGATCTTCTCTCACATGAGTGTCCTCAGGTAGCCGTCTGAATGCTGGACACTCGGAGACCTGTGTCTCTGAGTGGGAGACCAGAGATCACATTAACATGTGTGTCCCTGTATTAACAGACATGCCATATTGGCTTAGTTTATTTTTCTTATCATTGTTGTGAGGAGACCATAAATAGCATTTGTATTTTCTGTTGTACAGTTCATTTGCTGTTATGGAGTTCTTGTTATGGATAAAAAGTGTCTTTTTTTGTTTCAAAACAGCTGATAAATTCTGTCGGGACAAACGCCGTTTTTTTCGGCGTTTTAAATAATTAAATGGCGTTTTTACTCCATTTCTTAACCAATTGGGTTAGAAAAGTGGCGATATTTGGCACTAATGGCTTGCCATATCGGGGTATAAAAAGTCGTCATAAATAAGTCTCCAATAACACCAGAAAAAGTCGCCAGATTTGTCGCTAGTCGCTTTTTAGAAAAAAAGTCGCTAAGGGGGTCTGAAAACTCGCTAAATATAGCGACAAAGTCGCTAAGTTGGCAACACTGTGTGAAAAGTGGTCAATGAAGAGATATTGAAAAGCATGTTCATTCAAACATCGTCAGGTCTGCCGTGGTACGTTTATGGGACTTCGGCTCCTGAACCTCACAGCGTCTGCTAATCCGTGCTGTACAAAGTCACTTTCATCTTTATGCAAGCTGCCGTCTGTGAGGCGTTAGCGGTGTTTGTTTTTAACATAGTTCATGGTGGAGAATAGCTGCTCATATATGTGTGGATCCGAAGATCGACAATCCACAAATTAGCCATACTGGTAGGCCTCTCTGGTCAGAAGTAAATGCAAATGAATCTGCCCAGGTGTCATTAAATGTTCTATTTTCTTAAGATATTTTTCTTTTCTTACATTTCTCCATAATTGGCCTACCTGGGGCTGAAAGTCTGGATAAATGCACGGCGTTTTGGCAGGTATACCGGCTTCCACGAGTGTGACGCTTATTTTGAGCGACGAAAATAATAAAATATACGTTTATTTTAATATTTCAAGATCACAATAATCCTCCAATTTAGAATTACAAGATTTAAAAAGAACTAACACAAATAAAACCCACTTCATTTAAATACTTAGTGTTACAGGGATGGCCCTTTAAGGGTGAAGCCTGATGGGAAATGTATTTTGGGATGTGTGTAGCGGGACTGCCTGGTGTGGGTGTGTGGAGAGAGCGCGGAGAAGGGAAAAAGTAACGGTTAGCTACAGAAGAGACGGAAAGAAAATAAATAAAAGGAATATAAAAACTCCCTCGACAGCCAGAGTTGTGTCGGCGATGCTCGCTGTGAGTAGACTGTTTCAGCCCACTGTACGCGGTGTTCGTGCCTTGGAGAAGAAATAAAGTTCGGTGAAGCAGTTTCCTACGCCTCCTTCGATCTTTTTGCTAGCGGAGTTCAGCGGAGTTTAGACACATCTTCTCACTGAATGGTTATTCTTTGTTTTCATGACTATTTACATTGTAGATAATGCGTTAATCTCAGCAATATTGCACACGTCATAAGTGACGGTGTGACTACACTTCATGAAACACAACGTCAACTCCCGCCCTTTCACTCTTCAGTTAGGGCGGTTTCGACAGGAAGAAGCATCACTGGTTGTGGGTTTAACCGTGTGGTCTTAGGATTTAAAAAGCCAGCGACACCCATACTGAAGGCAAAACAAAGAAGTCTGATCAGGTTTTCGGCTGAAGCTATTTCAGCACCACCGTGTGTGTATTTTGCTCCAGCCTTGTGTGAAATCAGCAAAACTCAACTCAGAACGCAAATGGCTGGTTTATCGTTGTCACTTTGGTGGATTTGGCTGTCTCTCTCGGTTCTACGTTCAAATGCTTCTAAAGGTGAGCTGGGTGTGTATTCTCAGTATGTTCATCCGGAATCCTAGTTACAAATAGCCTTTTATCTTTTTCTTCATGTTATTGTGTTCTAGTTTTACATTTTTGATGTTTAAAATGTAAAATCTATGTTTTCTATCGAGATTCATGTAAAAGGTATCTCCAACACGATGTTTGCATAAAGTGTAGAGGTCTGAATATTTTATGAGCAGGTTGTGTACACGATGTAAAATACAATATATTCAGAAATATTTACAAATTGAAAACAAAAAAAATCACTTAACTGTAAACATACTTTATTAACATAAAGAAAATTGATATTTTGAAAATATGTTTTATCATTCTTATTCTCTTCTGGGTTTCATATGATGCTGGATGTTAAAGGTTCACCAAGAATCACCCTAAAGCCATGCTAAAACACACGCAGTAATGACAGATACAGGAAGTAAGAAGATTGTGTCCTGTCTGTCTTGGTTTAAAGATTTTTAGAGTAGAAATAGGTTTAGATTACGGAACAGGATCTAAGATATTATGTCAATTCTGTTTGTGTGCGTGTTCCAAAGTAACATCTGACTTTCATCCAGTTACATTTTTCAGGAGGCTAAGGCAATAATGTCTTTTTCTGTACTAAACTGAGTAATTGCATTACAGTTGTTTCATTACCTGCTTTACAAAGGTTCTTCTGCAGTTAACAATTACATGAAGAGCAGATAGGAAAAAAAGAAACATACATGCTTATTTTCTTTATGGTGTGGAGACTGTAGCCTTATATTGTTAACTCATAATTATGAAGCGATACTTTTCAGATCATTTTATGTGAAAGTAATGTAATGAGTAGTATAATAAATTACTTTCTCTGGTGAATAATTAAATGAAGTTAATGTATTATGTATGAGAAAAGTAATGTGCAATGCATTACATTTTTTGAATAGTGACCACAACACTGATCATTTCAATACATCTGGTATGGATATTCAATAAGCACACATCACAGTTCTTTATTTCCTCTCATTGGCTACTGTAGAAGTGAACATTTGTACTTTGACCTTTAACCTCTCTGCTCTGTGTTGTTTTTTCTTTCAGACAAGATAAACGCCACAGCTGAGTCTGGACAGGATGTCAATCTGACATGTCGAGCTCCAGGCAAGGACAACGCTATCATAGTTGTAGAGTGGAGCAGAGCTGACCTTGGAACAAAATATATCTCTTTGTACCGCGGCAGGAAATTTGTTCCAGACCACCAGCATCCATCTTTTAAGGACCGGGTGGATCTGCAGGACAGACAGATGAAGGATGGAGACTTCTCTGTGATTCTGAAGAATGTGACAACTGCTGATAGTGGAACATACGAGTGTCGTGTTGAGACAAAAACAAATCGCAGGAAGAGAGCTAATCTGGATGGTGACCCCATCAGCAGCATCAACCTTCATGTTGTTCCTCCAGGTGAGTGAGTAGAGTTGAGTGTGTGTGTGATCAGAGGTGAAGCTGCTTCCTGGTTGTTGATGTTTGTTTCTAAAGATGTTGTTGATGAGACTTTGTAGAAAGCAGCTGGTCTGAGTGATGTGATCAGAGTGCAGTAGATAATGTCTGACAGCAGTTTGAAAAGCAAATGGATTCTGTTCTGTTCTTCACTCATCACCTACCTGACAGCTGACACCTCACACCTGTTTCTCACCTGCAGGTCAACAAGGAGGACACACAGAGGATGGAGGGAAGGAGGATGGAGGGAAGGAGGATGGATCTGTTGGACTGAGAAGAGGACATTTTCCACTGATAGCATCTTTATCATTTATTTGTGCAGTTTGTATTTTGATCACCGTAAAGTATTTCTATCCTACTCGTGATAAAGCAACTGACACGCAGCAGGCATGAAATATTGCACTTGACAATTTTTATGTCACAGCAGACAAACCAGAGGATCTTGTATTATCATCCACCGTCGTTACAACAGAGAAATCTAAAGCAACAGTATCAACATGTTTCAGGGTTCCCATTAATTTCAACTATAAATATGGTGGAAACCAAGGGAACCCAAAAATCTTCAAAAAAATAAGGAAATATGCCACAAAATGTTCAGCTGAAACAAAATTAACGACAGTAGATTTAGCTATTCCTCATGTCTGCACCAACAGTATTATTCCCCTCCTCAAGCTGCCACCTTGGCGTTGGTGGAGAGGCTTGTGTGCTCAAATCCTGGAGCGTTCAGTTGACAAACAGGTTTCAGGTGATGAGCCAGACTAAGAGCAGCTCAACAAAAAAAGTGATGGACTGAGTAAATCATGTGTCTTGTGTGACTTCTAGTTGTATAAACCAACTAAAAATAAAAAAGAATGAGAGCTCTTTAACTGAGCCCTTAAACATAGGTGCAGACTAATGCTTTTGTGGATATTTGTGATACAAATATCAAAGAGAGATACCTACCTGCAAAACTTTATCTTTAACAGATCAGACAAAAATAATCTACTTTTAAATCACTTATAAAATACAAGAACTCTGGTTTTCTGCTGTAGTTGGGACTGGTGGAACTCCTGTACTCATCCCCTGCTGTTGTCAAGTGCTTTATTTACTCATTTAAAAATTTAAAAATAAATGTAGTACATTTTCTTCTATCAGACGTTTTGGTTCAGGCTTTATTACAAGCACAGAGTGAAACGTGTATTAATCAACTAATCTTTACATTTAATAAGTGATCTAAAAGTAGATTTTTTGTGAAACTTGCTTGGGTTTTTTTTTGTGTATTTTTGATGTATATCCTTTAACACAATAAGTTAAAGAAAAGCTTTTTTTCTAGATGGATATTTGCATAAACATTTTTATTTTTACAATGTAGAGAATAAATTACATTTCACATTTTGAAAATAACATTTGCTTTTGGTTTCCTTTCTCCAGAAATGATTACAAAAGCTATTCAGTATGTAACTGATCCTGTTGGTACACACCCAGTATCTTGTTGAAACAGCACTAAAGTACGTGCGACACACCCTCTGGGCTTTGCTCCAAGTAACCACAGATGGAAAAACACAGATACCCATTCATTATCTACCCAGTTAATCCTTAGAGCTTTTTTTTAAACATCCTTGCGTGTCACCTGATAATAATCCTCCTGGCTAGTCTGGGCCTGTAATTAGAGACAACAAAGTGAAGCTCTTATTACAAGGTGCAGGAGTTGTAGTTTGCAGTTTGTTCCTACCACTGCTTGATTCAGTGCTGGGTTTAAGGGAGAACAAAGCAGTTCCTCTTCAGTATGATATAAGTTTTCTCTCATTTCCTTTGTTTATTAACAGAAAATAAGGCAGACTTTTCAAATCATGTTGCAAACAGTTAATGTGTGAACAGATAAACAGCAAAATGTTTCTAGGGATCTTGGTTTATTTTTGTTCCCTGATTTTATTCATTTATTTTTAAAGAACTGGAATAAATGTGTTTTTCCAGTATCAGAAATCACATATTCTAATTGTTTTTACCTTCTGTAAGAAATAACCATAATTAGTGACAAATAATTACGACAGAGCTCAAAGAAAATTCCTTGTGCATTACAGAAACAGAAAAGGTTTGCCTTTATTTCTTTAGAAATGAAGTCATGCTCCTGCTATTACAAGAATCCTGCTGATCAAGTCTAAAAATAGTCCCAACAAACTGAGCTCAGTTTGGCCTTCTGTTTCTGTATGTAAGTTTTTCATTCTGACCTTTTTCTTTATATCTGATATTAAAACATATATTTTTTATAATAGTCATTTTTTTCCATGATCTCTCTGTAAAACAGCCTTTACAGTTTTACAAAGTCCTGTAAAACACTAAGACCTAATGGTAAACTGATGGCAAAGACACTGTCTTTAATGACATTGTGTCATAAAAAAATTAAAATATAACTTGCACAGCACATGGCCGTTAGTTCAGAACGAGTTCAACTCCACTCATCCCAAACATACATGCTTCTGTCTTTTACATTTGAGAAAGTGACGTTTAAAAGAACAGATTGTACTCTTGCCATCTTGTCATTTATAATTCAAAGAAAGAATCTAAAGATAATTTATGATCTGAACAATGTGATCAGACTAGTTTTAATCAGTGGGATTTTCTTTGTTTCTCTTCTTGTAAATTCAGTTGTCAGAAGAGGAACAACACAGTTCCTGTTAGTTATCCGGGGGGTGGGGCACTCACTCTAAATGGCCTGACTGGGCCTGTCCCTGTCAACACAGCAGAGAAAATAAAATTTAATGAAGGGCCTTATTCAGTGGAGGTTTTGTGGTTTGAAGTGTTTTGAAAACTGCTGCACCTCCCACTCCACAGTCTGAATCAGATGTCAAAGCTCCCTTTGGAGCTGAGTCACATGAAAAGTCCCGCTGATCACATTTTCCTCCTGCAGCATGACTGTCAAATATCCCCTTTAGATCAAATTATAACAAATATTCATTACACTAGCTGTCATGTACAACAAGTAGGCCTGCAGTGCGAGAGCGAAGTGCTCTAATAGGGTGATATGGTACTACAAGGTCATTAAGATAAGATTATTTAAGACCTTGTATGTGAGGAGCAGGATTTTGAATTCAATTCTGGATTTAACAGGAAGCCAAAACAGGAGAAATCTGCTCTCTTTCTAGTCCCTGTCAGGACTCAGAAACTCCTGAGTAGATATCACATGCTCTACGTTTCATAAGATAGCACCTTGGGACTGATTAACTTTACTTTTATCATCCTCTATCTATCTTATTCTCCATTCCTCCCTCCTGTACACATATAAAACATGTAAAAGCTGTCATCAAAATGTATATATTGTATGCTTGACCCTTAGAAGCAGAGCAGATATTTAAAAAAAAAGAAAAAGGTGGCAAAACTAGCCTGTTTCTGCACCAAACAGGCAGGAGCTGTCATGCATGCTGGGTGCAGTCACATTTGTGCAGCTCTCATCTCAGTTCAGCTCCAAGCAACACGAGGTGAAAAACACGCTGACAGAGACTGCAGCACTGAAGGCTTATAGATATGTGTTTCATATTTATTTATCTAGTTTTTTAGCTGTCATTTTAAACATGTTGGGTAAAGTTTACACTCTGTTTGACTTACATAAAAGTCATAAAGCAGGATTCAGATAAGTCATTTATTGAACAAAGTCCCACCTTTAAAACACAGGATTATTACTTCCTGAAGGCTGATGATAAACCTGGACTTTGAGCTTCTTTTACTGCAGTATATATTTTTATAAAACGCATTAAAATGTAACCTTCACAGCTCCTAATGAGCCTGTAAGAAGAGAACAAAATGGAGGTTGTAGTTTGCTCAGCTTCACCTCCCCCACTGTTGTTGAAACGAGGAAGTGTTTTTTTCTTTTCTTTAGCGAGAACAGAAATCAGCTCTGCTGTCATGAAACTAGTTTCAGAATATCTTCAGACTTTAAAACCAGTTCATCATTCAAATCTTTACAAATCTCTCCCTGAGACTCTGAATGTCAAAAATGAGATCCGGTCGCTTTTATCAGTCATGTGTTTCCAGTTTGAACCGGTTCTTTCCTTTTCTTGTAATTTGTCTCTCTGTGTTTTATGAGAAGCTGACTGTTCCTCTTAAAGTCATCATGTGGTCAGAACAAGCTGCTGATGAAAGACTTGAAATGTACTTAAAATGCAAAGAGCAGAGTTGAACGTAATAACTGGATCGCATGGAGTTAAAACTGAAGGTCATGTGACACAGTGATCTCTGTGGGACTCGTTTACTCAGTAACTCGATCAGAGTCCTAGGCTGCCTCATGTAGGTCAGGTTTCTGTGACATTTGAGTCACATCTGGCCCACACAGCTCATTTTAGCCTTCCTCTGCTGTCTCACATACCCAATGTGAGACTCAGAAAGATGAAACAGAAACATTGCTGTGGGATTTCTGTGGTTAATACAGAGACTAAGAATTAAAACTGTGTTTCAGTCTGTGTTCAGGGCCGAGCTCTGCCAGGGAACAGATGACATGTCTGTGTTTGAAACTGTTTTGCAGTGTGGTTTCAACACCTCCCCCACACCATAGTAACAGCAGAGCACTGCTGTGTACACAGAGCACAGAAACTTCCTCTTTAACCCTCTCGAGGCAGGCGTTGCTGATTTGCAACAGTTAAAAACGAACAACCTGATTACCCCACATACATATTTTATGAGGGTTTTTTTTACTCAGAAGTACCACTGCAGGACTTGGTTGTGCATTAGCAACAAAAACTTAATTTGAGCTTGAGACAGGACTGTGCAGGACAGTTAGATGAACTTTATAAAAACCACTTTAAACTAAAATAATTTTTACATGTTTATAGTGGTTTTTCTTTAACTCGACACATAAAACAGGGTTAAAGTATCACACTTTTAGTATTATGCAGTATGCGACCCACACTGTCACACCCAACAGAAACAACCACAGCATGTTGCAAGTGTGCATTAGATTCATCTGCTGTAAGCTTCTAAAACTACCTCCGTCCTGCACAAACAACTGACGTATGTGGGTGGAGTTTAAGTACTTCCCTGTGGAGCTCAGCTGAACTCAGTTTTGGAAGTTGAAATCAAGAGAAAAATGTTCAATTTTAAACATAAACACTTCCCTTTTACTGCCATAATGGAAGTATTTTTATTTCTCTCATACCAAACCAAAAAAGGAGTGAACAGCACACAATGCCTCTAATGTCTGTCCTCTGACTCATATGGAAAGTGTGGTGTCTCATTTCCCTGAGAAATTTCCCAGCCGTGATGACTGCCTGCGCGTGCTTGTTTTATCTGTCATCATCACCGACCACATTATTTATTTAACTCTGAAGGTAAGAAATGGTTCAACAAGGAGAGACCATGAATTAGTAAAGTGCAGAGTTTGAGTAAGAACTTGACTTGGTGCAGAAGAAGAACCAGTGTGACAGAGCAAAGTCTTAACAATAACATGGACCATCTGAGTCCATGAAGCTTAATGTGTTCTGCAGTGTGCATGAATCACATGCAGTTTGGAGGATAAACAGGAGCTCTCACCCTAAACACAGACCATAGAGGGAGCAGCTGGAAACACAGCAGGTGGAAGCTCAACAAGTCACAGGTGATGTGTTGTCCTTCAGAGCAGGTAGACTTGATGCTGGTAAAATATTGTTTTCACAGCTCAGGGTGGACATTTTCCCCACGTCATTGTGTTTCATTTAGCAAACAATACATGTCATCTGTTCCATGCCTGCTTTTGTTTGAGTTCATTCATTCTCTGTTTACTGTGCAAACACTGGAGTCTGTGTCAAGGTGAAGTGTTCCCAGTGGCTCTCACATGTCGATCTGCTGTTTTCTCATAGCCACAGAGTCACAAACTGCAAAACATGGTGAAAATATTCAACACAGAATCAAGATTATTTTTTTCTCAGGACTGTTTCTAGAAAAAAAGTAACTTAATCAGCTGAGGTGACAACAGAGCATCATGAAAGGAGAAGCAATGAGAAACCATCTCACCATCAGACCAGACAGTCAGCATGACTGATGAGTGACTAATCATCATGCGTATGAATGCTGCAGTCATGATGTATCTTACAGCAGAGCTTGATAAAATGCTGATATGTTTTAACATTCGGCAGGTTGTTAAACTCACAGGGCAACTCAGTTAAACGTGGTTTAACAAGGACAATGAACTAAATGACATAAAATGGCCCAAGTGGAGGGTGTAGTTTGGTGACATAGTCTGTCCTCAGGTTAGTTTCTTTTGCTCATCATTTCCTCAACCTTTAAACAGCAAGGATTAAAGGGCATCAAAAACTGAAGAGAAAAGTGCTGGATATGAATAAAGTTGAATAGAAAACACAAGTTTTTATTCAGCTTTTTCCTGTTAAGGTAACTTAACTAAATGGAGAGCACAGGAGAGTCAGGTCAAGGATAAGTTATGCAAATCAGTAATTCAAATTCTCAGTAAATCTCATATCTCAGTAAAATTTGATGCAAAGTTTGTGCTTGAGTCATATTTACAGTCTCTTCTTTGTGTTGTTGGTACTTCAGTGCCAAGATAACCTCAGAGCAAATAAAAAAAGCTAATTCTACTAAGGCTTTTTGGAGTTCAGGGGATTTTATAATTTATTTATAATTCACTATGAATCTGAAAAAACAAAAGATTTCACAGAGAAAACTAAAGTAATGCAGTAAGTTTTGTTTTACAAGAAATGAGAGAGGGGAAGGGTTGGGCTCCACCCACATCCTGCAGTCAGTCACATGGAAAGTTTCCAACATTTATTCTCTGATTTTAATCAATAAAAACATATTGGTGACATATAACTCATTGCGCATTACTCAGATGGAATATCATGAGCTTTGCTGCAGGTTTTACCCTGTCAGAAAAAAAGTACACAAATTATAAATTTGCAACAACTGAGCTAAATACAAACAGCTGAAGCTATGAGGCCCCCTGGAGGTCAGATATAAACACTATGAGCTGTACTTTTAAACAGGACAGACATTTATTTATAGATTTCAAACATTTATGATATTTATTCGGCTCTTTAAGCATATCTATTAAACCCAGAGTGCTGACTGTCAAGAGAAATATGTGAATGCGTTGAAGAGTAAAGAGAAACACGCAAACATCAATCAGTCTTGACAGAACAAAAACACACACCCAGTATACACGTGTGAACTTGACTGGGAGGCATTCAACTGCTGGCTGATGAGAAGTCACATGTTCAGTGGTGGTGATGGTGCATATTTAAAGACACAGTAGCAACCTGATATCAGACTGAGATGTTTACTCTCTGACTCTGA